AGTTATTAAGATACTGATTACTAGGATATACAAATTGAATAGATGGAAAGACCTTCCAAAATTGGGGAGGAAACTTCCACTGTAGCAAAAAAAAATCCTGAGTAGCGACTAGAAAGTATATGCAAAGTTGCTCAATAATTTTCACTAGGCTTTTTTATAGGTATGGTTTTTATTATGTCTCATAAATACAACAAACATTAGTGATTATAGAAGGGAGTTGATAGGTGTCTCGAGTGTGTCTGTCATCAAGATATTAATGGTGATAAAACAAAGTGATGTGTATGATCTCCAGTGAAGTTTCCTACAAATAAAGCAGCTTTTCTTTTAAAAGCATAATACTAGCTGTGAAATAATGAATATTAACCCTATAGAAGAAAACAGTGACAGAGAATTCATAAAGAAACAGGAAAAATGGAAATCTAATGACAGAGAGACTCTACAATTACAGTCAGAGGAGTTTAGAACATGAAAGCAGGAAGGTGGTACAGTGCCAACTGGACCCGAGTCCACACAGTAACAATGTAAGTAAACATCCTGAGATAGGTACTCGTTGGGAAATGAGAAATAAGACAGTTTTCTGTTGTGATATTTACTTGAATTTTGTATATCTGCCTTTTCTGAGAAATTAGGAAGGCTCTGAGCCAGCGTTTCCCCAACTAGATATCTTAGAACCACAATTCTCTAAAATGCTCTCTCAGGGAGAAAATGATCCACTCTTCGGGGGACTCACTAGCATTTAAAGACCCTGAAAGTTCCCACAGCAAGTAAAAATGATAATTTTTTCCAAACCTATTTGACCATGGGACCCAATTTTACATAACACCTGTTAACATCTTCCAAAGACCCCCTTCTACAAAATTTTCTCCTAGGAAATTAGACTATTAGAAATAATAGGTTTTGAGATGAGCTCAGTATGTTTGAAAAATTGTCTGGTAATACATCATGACATCCATTTCTTCTCCCATATAAGGGGGGGTGGAGCTTGCTTTCCTTAAAACCTCTTCTAAATACAAACTTGTAGAACTCCAAAACACCTGAGAGCAGATTTGACACTCATGTCTCTATTTAATTTTTAGAGATATCTGAACTGGGTCAGTCAAGTGCTTATAAACTTCCACGGCTTAGATAAAATGTATGTTACCCTCTTAATATATTCTTAATTATGTATATATTTTTAATGCATAAATATTTCCTGAGTGAATTATCTATTTAGGGGATTTTTTTTCATTGACCCTGATGGTCTCTTGGGTCTCTTTGAGTGTGGCTAACTATACTAAAAAGCTAGATTTAAATAATTTTTTCATGTAACTCATTCTCTTTCTCTTTTCCATTAGTATGGAAAATCAAGAATTCATGGTATTACGGATTTTTAAATGTCAGAGATTGTAAAGCTGTCTTGCCTATTACAGTAAAAACTTCATTAAGGGCTATCATGTATTCAAAGCAGTGTGTAATTCAAAGCAGCCGCACACCCAGCTCCCCTTCTCCATAAGCATGATTGTCCTTTGAATGAAAACATTAGATTACCTGGGTACTCGTTAATTTCGAGCCTACTTTCTAGATGCCAGAGATTTTAAGGTAACTATGTTTTAATAAAGTCATTATATTCCCTTGCCATTAAACCCATCAAAAACGATGTTCGCTCACTGGCCCATGTATTTTATAGGAATGCTCATTCTGCCCTTAACTCTCTTTCCCAAAGCCTTATGTTTTCGCCTTGCCCTTCAGAAACACATCAAATGATAATCCTTTATTTTTAAAGAGTTTTGGTCATCATAGGAAAGACTCACCCTTCCTCACTGAAGGACAAGTTTCACTTTGGGGTCCCAATTACCTCAATTTTCTTTTATCTATGAAGTCTGTGTGATTTTTTTTAAGGAAAAGGTGACAAATATTCGCTGAAATACAATCTTTTTGTAGTTATATGTCATAAATTAAAGTAATGATACTTTCCTAGTAAGAACATGTGTGCTTTAATCACTTTTCCTAAAGAAGTTAAATTTATGAGTAAGAAAAATAAGAGGAAGTGACTATGGGAATGATGAGAAACTAATGAGCACAAAGTATGCATCTTTAAGGATCAGGCCAGGAGAAAGCCTCATGTAAAATACTCTTCTTTTATTACATAGTAGCCAAGGACGACTTAAACTGAGATTAAAATAAAAGCTGATTTCATAGGCCTCTTGTCTTCCTTCAAGATGGTGTATTTTTATAAAGCTGAACTTCTCTGTCGTCGATAGTTTTGTAAATTACCTTTTACAAAGGGAAAGATAAAACCTATCTTTATGTAAACCCTCACACATCACAAAAAGACTTATGAGTGTTCCAAACTTATGGTTTTGGCACACCAAGTGCATAGCATTGAGGGAGGAGCAAAGGGGTTAGCGGAAAGTGTATTTAGGATGAATGCCACCCACCATCAAGTAATGGTTTAAGTAGAAAGTAATCAGAGGGATACCACAGCAGCTAAATTTCAACCAAAGATATTCTAGGTTTAGAACAATAAATAATTTTAATCAGGTATGTTCCAAGGAGCAAATAGGGCTCTAAGGCTATAACTCAGCCCAAATAAGCACTTGGGAAGTCTGCCGGGTCAGCAACCACCCCATATATATATATATATATATATACAGCACACCACCTGACCGTCCACTAACATTTGTAACATCATTGCTACAGAGAAGCCCGTATGTTGTGAAACCTAAACACCATGGACTAGAAAACATATCTGATTTATTAAAGCAGACAGCATCTTTCACCTACATCGGAACATACGTCACAAGATAAAGAGTGTTACGGAAACGCTGATATGGATAAAGGAGAGGGACACACGTGAAAGCCTTAGCACCTTCCTGAAGTCGTGCCTTCTTAGAGCCAGACCTGCCTTATAATAAGGTCTTTTGAGTGTGCTAGTAACTAAACACTCTTGGAAAGGGTCCAACACGAACCACCTCTCCAGGAGTCTCCGTCCGATGCAGTAACATGACACTTAAGCTTCCACAAAAAACAGTGTCTACGTTTGATGAATAAGTCATTAAGACAGTCTCTAGGATGCTAAAGGGATTACTTTTCTTATCAGGGCACACAGCCTTGTATATATGCTTCAAGCCGCAATTCATCATTTCCAGGGAACTTCTGGCCTCCCTATCAGAGTTTATCATTTGCTGGTATAAGACCCGTGAGGCTGATAAGGGACACTAGAAATTATAATGCACAGAATGAGCTGAAGCCCCAAAGAACATGGGGCCCGCCTTTTTCAAATCCTTATCCATCTCCCACGCATGGTTCACTCAGCCTAAGACAAACATACAAACAACCAGGCAATGGGTGTGAGTGAAACAACCTGACATTCCACCTCCCAACCTTGTGATTCATACTAAAAATGAAACTTGTTGATACAAAAGATACTATTCGTCTCTTGGGTGCTTTAGCTATTCCCTAGGAATATCACCAAGAAAATGATGATCAGGATAAGAGCCATCTGAGTATCTTCATTACTGCCACCTGCCTTGCCCACCCAACTTCTTTCCAGTTCCTGTGGCTCCCACATTGCTCCTTCCTTGAGCTCTGCCCTCAGAGTTGCACAGAAATAAACAGGGCATTCACTGGTGTGGTCAGCTGTCAGGACAGCCTCCTCAAGTGGCTGGCATACTGTGCATAACCCAGAGCAGGTTTCTGTTTCCTTAGCAGAGGGCGGCAGCCCCTTACAGATTATGCTCATGGTTTTAAGAAGAAAGTGAAATCTGGTTCAGCTCAGACGCTAGCTAAAGATTTCTGCATTAGAAAGCATAATTCACATTTATTGTAAATGTCATCATGCCTACGAGCTCCAGAGTGTATTTACAGTGTCAACCTAGGGCTTTCCTTGATGGATGCTTTGGTTTTCCTTTTTTCCAGGAGTCCTACATATCAAAGCTCTGGGAGATTTCTTTCTAGTGATTCTGACAGAATTGATAGAGCATGAGGCAAGGCCTCCCCACTTGAAGATTCTTGGCTATTTTTCAACGGTTCACTGAAGACAGGCTTTGCAGTTACATTTCCCTTTATCATGAATGTAGTGAACAAAAATGCCTGATGTGTCTTCAAAGCATATAAACCGAGTCAGTGTCCAGGAAACTTTCCCTCAAGCTGTTAGCACAAGGGAGGCAGGCTGTTAGCATAAGTTATTCGCTTCACCACAGGGGACAGGAGAAACCTTGTTAAGCCATGAATTTCAGTCCGCAGTGATCTATGTGTTGAAAAATGGGATGAGCAGATTTTCATCCGCAGATTCCAAGAGGTGTTTACATCCACTGCTGTCCACCCCCCCCAGCTCCTCCCAGGGTGGAATAGGTACACCCCTATTTGCCCAGATGGGTTTTAAATATGAAAACACCGACTGCCTGGTTTAGTTTGTGTGTTTGTCACCAAGGGGCTATCAAATAGAAAGTGTCAAATACAGTAACACAGAGGACGGGAGTTAAGAGGGGGTGCAAGGTCTGAAGAGCGACGGTCTAAAAGGCGAGGGGAAGGCGTCTCGTTCAAGTGTGACTTTTCCCTCTGGTGCCTCAGGGTTGGCATAAAATGACATCTGCCTTTAGGTAAACATGGCTAAAGCCCAGTCCAAGGGAATTTCCGCCGGCTGGCTTAAGAAACACCAGCATGAGGTACCCCTGGGGTGCTCCAGACACTCAGCGCAGGAGGGCTCTGCTGGGCATGGGGGTAGCCCCTTCCCCCTTTCCAGGCAGTTCCTCCAGACCTACTCGGTTGCTCAGCCCCCTTCTTCTCTCTAGATCTCCCTCTCAATTCGGGCTCTAAAACTGGGGTTATTCGCTGGCAAAATGCGGGGTGTGACGGGACCGAGGGGGCTCGGTGGGCAACTGCAGAGGGTGAGAGAAGGTCTCTAGGTAGCATTAGAGAGCGGAGGGCAGAGGAGGAAGCTGGCGCGGGGCGGGGGGGGGGGGGGGTCCCGGGGGAAGCCCGGGGCGGGGCCGGGGAAAGGGGGCGCCTCGGGCACTCACCTGCTGCTCCGGCTCGAAAGCTGCGAACCGTGTTGCCTTCGCGCAGGGGCTGGGGGCGCAGGGGCCGCGAGCCCCGCTCAGAGGACCCCGGTGTCCGTTCCGCCTCGGCCTTGCCGCCGCCGCTGTACCTGTCATAGAGCCGCAGCATGTGCTCGGACACCTTGTCGTGCGGCGGCAGCACGGGGCCCGAGTCACCACCTGACACGGCCTTGTGGAGCTCGGGCAAATCCGGCTTCAGTCCCTCTCCCCGCGCCAGGCTCACGCAGAAGCAGCCCAGCCACAGATAGAGCAGCGTGCGCGCCCCAGCCATAGCGAGGTCCCGGCGCCGCGCGTCCGCTCCCCGCGTGGCGGGGGGACACTCCGAGGCCGCGAGGGGCCCGCGACAGAGCGGAGGGTTGAACTTCGAATCGGCGTGGGGCGAGGGCGCCGGGAGCCCCAGGCACTGCTTGCGCAGGACGCCGGCAAGCCGCACTTTTTGCGCTGGCTGATCGCAGACGGGCAGGTGGGCTCTTCCCCGGCTGCCGCGCGGACCTCACCAGGGCAGGGCGCTGCAGGCGCCGTCCTCACTTGTACGCCGAGAAAGAGCTTAAGTCGCGGCGTATGTGGCCGGGGTGTTTTCAGGATCTGTCTCTATCCTCCCTCCCCTCTTTATCTTCCAGAACAGCCGGCCGAAGCGGCCGCGCTCGGGAAAAGCACTAGCTATGCGTCGGGCGCAGGGCCGGAGCCGGGGTGCGCGCAGCGGTCCGGAGGGCGCTCGCTTGCCTTTTCCAGGGATTGGAGCAGCAGTGGTGCCGCAGGTCCGAGTTTTGTGTGTGTCTCTGTGTGTGTGTGTGTGTGTGTGTGTGTGTGTGTGTGAGAGAGAGAGAGAGAGAGAGAGAGAGAGAGAGAGAGAGAGAGAGACACTGACTACTTCGTTCTTTGGCTGATCTGTACAGCCCACAGCCAATCTCGCCCTGTCCCTCGCAGGCAGCCTGGACCCTGCTCTAGCCGGGACAGAAGGGAAGGGGGAAGTAACCAGCAAACCAGCAGGGGGAGAGAGAGAAGAGGAAGTAGGGGTGGGGTGATTGGGAGAGGAGGGGGAAAGGAGAAGATCGAGGAAGAAAGGGTAGGAGGGACGGCGTATTTTTTTAATCCCGTCACGAATATTAAGATTGTGTCCCGGCCTTCAAGAGTACAGAGGAAAATAAACTTCCTCCTAGTTTCTTTCTCCTCTGATACCAGACAAAATCAAGATGTGAACACCATCCTTGCTTCCTTGCCCGCGTTTCTTCTTCTCTAAGTTGTGGACCCGGCTGCACCTGTGCCTGGTTACCACCCCTTCCTGTCTCTCTGAAGGCTCACCCATCACAGCTCCTTCTCTTTCGCATCTTCACTTTGCATCTCCCTGCAGGAGAAAAATATGTGTGAGTCAATCCTTCTTAAGAACAAATAAACAAGCAAACACACCACAACACCCACTCCACCACTTCATTCCCCTTTAAGGGGTTTCTCTGCAGGAGGGTGGGTGGCGATGAAACACAAGGGCTTCTGGGAGATCCAGGAGTCCAGAGCAAGCTCTTAGGGTTGCTAATTCTGAGATCTTTACTCACTCTCTCATTTTTTGGCTGTAAAATGGAGGTTAAACTATTAGTTAACATTTCACCCCACACGTCTCATGCCCTAAGCACTCGTTGTGCTTTATATTTCACATGTATTTTTTTAAAGCAACCTTCACCCCCAAAGAGGGGCTCAAACCCACAACCCCGAGATCAAGCGCTATGAGCTCTACCAACCTAGCCAGCCAGACCCCCCTCACCTGTATTATCTTTCAAGAATTTTCACAAGGAAGCCCATTTTACAGATGAGGAAACTGAGGAAAAAGGACCCTCCTGGATGGCAAAACTGAGCTCCAGGTTCAGGGAATCTGATTCCTGGCCCTTACTATTAATAATGAAATCAGCATTTAAACTGACTTTTCAACGTGACAATTATGTAAATGTTCTCAGCAGGGAGCCTGCCCTGGTGCAGTAAAGCCCGGAGTGACCCTCTGTTGCAGCTCTCTGTCCCCTCTGTGGGAGCAGAGTGGGGCTTATTGAAAGGAAGTTAGGCTCCGGGGTCACCTTGGGCTTCCAAATCCCACTTTTTCTTTGAAGGAGAATAAGAACACATCTCTTTGAGAGTTTTGTTTGGATGAGACTAGAAAGCAGTGCTGAAATGACTGGCACCCTGACTAGCCTTTAATAGGGGCTCAGTCCCTTTTTATCCCAAATTTATCCCAAAGGCAGACTACATTCTCCCTGCCCTGTCACTTCTCAACCCCTTGTGGTTTGGATTGTGCCCCCAGCCACCCCAGAACTGTTCTGCAGATAATAATGTATACTTCAAGGGTGGTTGTGAGGATTAAATGGGATCATGTGTGTGATCTTTGCTTGGCATAAAGAACATAATAGCTTTTGTGATTAATAATGAAGACCCAATTGCCAAATTCAATAGGCCCTGGAAACTCTCTCCCTCTGATTTTTCCCTGTGAATCTTTGGTTCTTTCCCCCTCTCCTTTCTGCTTTGTTTCAGCTCTGTGAGCTACCTCCTCTTTCCAGGCCTGCCTCCGAGAGTCCTCACATCTTTATATTCAGCCCCGGAAGATGCCAAATTGAGAAGAAAAATCTTCTGCTTTGGTGGTCACCTCTGACCTTTAAATTTATATAGTCTTGGGTCTCTACCAGCCCCTCTCTGCATTGCCAAAATTTCGCCCTTCTCCCCTTTGTCACCATCCTTGAGACTTCCCTTCCTTTCGCTTTAGTGTATATCTCTATGGTGACATTTGCTACTCTGCATTCGATGTAATTCTTCATTTGTGGAAACTGTGCTGTGGCTGCTGGGGTTGGCTGCATGTTTTCGATGTCTACCTTCACTTCTTCCTAGAAGTACATACTCCCCCCCCCTTTTTAAAGATTTGTTTATTTGAGAGAGAAAGAGAGAGTGCAGGTGAGCAGGTGGGAGGGGCAGAGGGACCCAGATTCCCCACTGAGCATAGAGCAGGACTCCAAACTCAATCACAGGATGCTGAGATCATGATCTGAGCCGAAATCAAGAGGCAGACACTTAACCGACTGAGCCACCCAGGCGCTCCTTGCACTTTCCCTTTCTTTTGCTTCCATTTTCTCATTTGAGCCATAAGTACAAAATAATAGTACCTGTTTCACAAAGTTGTTGTAGAGAATCATTGGGCAGTCCATGTCAGGAGGTGGGGACAGTGCCTACCACATAGCAAATGCTTAAGAAGAGTCAGCTATGAGCTAAGATAATTGCTTGAATGTCTTTGTGTAAAGCAGAAGTCAAGCCATATCCACCTTTATGTTTCAGTGACCAGCCATCACATTCAGAATAAATAAAATAACTAGGAGATGAGAAGCAGGTAGAATAATCCCTAGTGGGGACTCTCAGCTGTAAGAGCAAGGTTGGAAAGGAAAGTGTAAATGAAAGCCAGCAAGCCAAGGAACACTGGTGGCACCCTAATCTTGGACCAAAAAAGGCAATTAGCCTACACCCAAGAAGACGGAGCAGGGATGAAACAGATGAAGCCAGCAGCATCATGTCCAGCAATGACAAGTAAATGGCATCCATGCCGGACCCTCTGAATGACCTGCTGGGGAAGTGAGAGCAAATTGAATTGGAATGAGTAGTTCCTTCATCAGAACATCTGGAGATACCGTCTTGTGATACTTTAAGACCATAGCACAGAGATCATGATCTGAGCTGAAGGCAGTCGCTTAACCAACTGAGCCACCCAGGCGCCCCAAAGAAAGACATTTTTATTTATTTTTATTTTTATTTATTTTCTTTTAAAGATTTTATTTATTTGACAGAGAGAGACAGCGAGAGAGGGATCACAAGAAGGGGGAGTGGGAGAGGGAGAAGGAGGTTCCCCGCCGAGCAGGGAGCCCGATGTGGGACTCGATCCCAGGACCCTGGGATCCTGACCTGAGCCGAAGGCAGCCGCTTAACGACTGAGCCACCCAGGCGCCCAAGAAAGATATTTTTATAAAGCAAACACTAATTTGGAGTTTTAGTGGATTCTGTTGAATTGAGCTCTACTTTGACCACAAAATCCTGTGTGTTTGATGTATATTCTGTGTCTTTATTAGTTCCCTTAAACACTATATACCTTTATTTCCTAAAAACTCCATCAATTATTGAGTATGTGCATAAGCCTACATTAGTGGTTGTGGGGAGAACATGTGAGGAGAATGTGTCTTAGGCTTGGAGGAGTTTACCTTCTAGTAAGTGAGCTAAAGAAATCCACACGGGACAATGAACAAATAGTGGGAGAAGGATTAGTTTGGTGTCCAACTATGTTTTGTAGACTATGTCACAATTTGCTGTGTCAGTAATAGGAGGAGATCAGTGGGAGATAGGATAGCCAGGGAAGATTTCCTGGAATAGGTGGGGCTTTATTTAGCCTTGAAAAAGGGGTAACGTTTTAGAGTCAGACATAAAGGACTTGTAATTTAGGAAAGAATAGCAGTAAGAGAGAAGGCATGGAAGTGAGCATGAGCTTGCCATGTTACTGAGGCCGTGTCCCTTGGGACAAAGGCTAACCTGACTTTATAGAGTATATATGCTGGACAGCACAGGAGAAGTAGAGATGGGATGCTGGGTGGAATGAGTTTATGGCGGACTTGGAATGCTAGATCAGGGGAGAGGAGGCAACTTTAGAAGGTTTTTGAGAAGAGGAGGCTTTCTCATGGTCAAAACTCTCCAAAATGGTCTGGAAAGTTTTAGTGACTAATAAATGTCCTGCCTTTGGAAGTATATACACAATAAGGTAGATGACAACTTAAACCAGTTTGGGTTGATTCAAATATCGGCAGACTGATTGAAGAGATTTAACACCTTTTTAGTTGCAAGCTTATCTGGGGACAATAAATATATATCTGTATACAAAGTCTGTACCTATAGCTGTCTATCTATTTGAGTATATCTAATTCACAGTGGCTTAAACACATAAGGGTTTATTTTTCCTCCTGTTGTAGGAAGTCTGCAGTTAAGGAGCTATTGGTGTCTGCTCAGTGGCTTGATGAATGTCATTACTAGTGTTTATGGGACTCACTTCCATTTCCCTCTTTCTTGCTGCCTTAGGGTCGCCAGATGCCTCTTGCAATTTCAGCCATCAAGTGCTATTTCAAAGGAGAAAGAAGGAGAGGGGAGGCACCGGCTATGTCTCTTCCTTTTCATCCGGAAAAGCAGAAGGTCTCTCAGAGCCCTGGCAGGTATCTTTTCTATCTCACTCGTCAAAATTTTGTCACTTTGGTCACCTCTACCTGCAAGAGG